TCACTAACCAGTAGGTGGCAGTAGTGTTCTTTGACAAACATGGATGCCTCCAGTAAAGCACATTCACATGAAAATTACTCTGAATTAAAAACACTGATCATTTATTGAACAGGATGGAATCATTTCATATTTAAAGAACTTTCAGAATTTGAATTCTGAATATGAGCGGACTTTTCCGGACTCTTTGTATTACTTCCAGCCACTACGAACGGCAGCGGGAAATCCCGCACAGCCTGGACGTAGCAGAGAGTTTTCAGCTGGGATTTCCAGCGCTGCCTCCTGGTGGCATGCTGGAGGTCTGCCGCTCCAAACAAGAACTGCATATTTAAATGGGATCATAATCCTGATGAACAGAGGATGCTTGGAGGTCGACTTTCTCAATTGAAACCTGTTAAATCTATTTTTCCAACTCAAAGTAAATAAAGTCTCCACAACGATTCCGAGAATTTTTCGATCAGGTCGACCTTCAGCCTGATGGTGCGTGATGTAATGTACAGGCGGTAACGAGGGGCGATCAGCCTCTAATGACCGCCTCCTGATCAGGAATCATAAGGTCGGGAGAAAATCAAACATGTTTGAAATTCAGTCGGCCGTCTTAAGGTGGTCGTGGGCAAATCGCTCAGTGGGCAAACAAGGATTCTTCTTCTTCTTCTTTCTATCAGATGAAAACACAGAAGCATGGCAGGGGTGCAATGAGTGAAATGGAGTTCTTTCTGTAAAACTGACAGACCGTAGTAGCCACTAGGGGTGTAAATCACATCCATCATGGCGATTGGATTCAGTGTCGATTTCCTGACCCAATGTTTCGATTATTTTATTTATTTATTTTCTTTTTACACCTTACAGGCTAGACATTGTTTCAAATTTGAAATAAATCAATGAAATCTGTAATATTGTTATGCATTTTTTTTTTTTTGAAACAACAGCAAATAACAGAAGTAGAAAAGTTGTCCTCCACCTATTCCTATGAAAACCTCATTCACTGAAAAATAATAATACCTCTGCGTTATAGATTCTGAAAGGCTTTTTTTGTTTTTATGACCGAAATTGCGGAAAACAACTCGTGAAGTTTGACCTGCTAGAAGAGCGAGGTGCGCGAGAACGCTGGGACCCTTTTTCCACCTGGATCTCCGCTCTTTTTGGCCCTCATGTCCCTCCGTCGTCGGACT